TCCGTCATTATTTAAATTGTTATTATTGTTATTGTTATTATAAATTTCGCTATTGCCATTTCCGTCCATGTTGTTATTGTTATTATTATTGTTGTGTACTTCAAAGCCTTGCCGAAGTTCCTTATCATTTTCATATACACTTTCCCTTAAATTGTTGTTATTATTATTGTTGTTATAAGCTAGACTGTTACTATATCCGCCATTGAAGTTGTTATTGTTGTTATTGTTGTTATAAATTTGGCTGTTGCCATTTCCATCCATATTATTGTTATTATTGTTATTATTGTGGATTTCTACACCTTGCCGAAGTTCCATTTTATTTTCATCTTCGTCATGTTCTTTACTATTTTCATTATCTTGAATATTATTACCATCATTCTGTTCAGTCATATTAGCATAGTGTATCATAATATAATGTAAACCTTCTCTTAAATAGTTAAGGTTATTATTATTATTGTTGTTGTTATAAATTTTGTTATGGCCATTTCCGTCCATGTTGTTATTATTATTATTATTGTTGTGTATTTCAGCGCCATGTCGAAGTTCCTTATTATTTTTTTGTAAACCCTCTCTTAAATTGTTGTTATTATTATTGTTATTATAAATTTGACTGTTCCCATTACCATGGTTGTAATTGTTGTTATTGTTATTATTGGGTGCAGCGCCTTGTCGAAGTCCTTTCTCATTTTCGTATAACCCTTCACGTAAATTATTGTTATTATTGTTGTTGTTGTTCATTATCCTGGTTCCGCCATAATCGTCATTGTTGAAATTATTATTGTTGTTGTTGTTGTTATAAATTTGACTGTAACCATTTTCAAGATTATTGTTGTTATTGTTATTATTGTAAATTTCAGCGCCTTGCCGAAGTTGGACTTTATTATCGTCATTATTAGGTTGATCTGTATTAGTGTCATTAGCATCCGTGCTCTTAGTTTCATTTTTAGTATCATCTTTATTATCGGCATCTTTATTATCGGCATCTTTACTATCGGCATCTTTATTATCGGCATCTTTATGTTCATCCAACTTAGTAACTTTGCTATCTTCCTCATTATTATTCTCGCTGTTATTACTACTACGTTCTACTGCGTTTTTAAGTTTTTTCTTTTCAGTACTACTATCATCACTAGCACTACTAAGCTCGCCAGGTAATAAGGGAGTTAATAATACTGGATCAATTTCACCAAGATCCAAATTAAGACGTTGTACCTCTTTTTTATCACTTTTTGTGTTATCAGTACGTCCAAATAAATTAAGTATATTTTGTGACGATATTGTGCCTTTTAACCAACCATCGATATTGCTATCAATATCTGATTGTGGTAACACAACTAAATCACCATAATCGAGGTCTTCATTTTCAGGTTTGATTTCCTGAAGAATTTCTGGTTCATTTATTATGTGATTATTGTTATAACCTGGTAAAATAAAAACATGGGTATGATCTTCACTTGCTTCAAAACCTTTGGTACGTTGTCTTTTTATGTTTTGACTGTGTTCATCTAATGGGACCTGAATTTTACCATTCGGTAGTATAAACACATGAGATACAATATCATTTTTGCCCAGTGGTTTCAAGTTTCGGGCTTTTGGAATGGTCGTCAAATGTGCACCTCCACCGACTTCAAATCTAGTTACGGCTGGCAATATTACATTTCCACCACCTTCCATGGCCGATACGATTGGTAGTCGTGCATTTCCACCAACTTCCACGGCCGATGTGGATGGTAACTGTGCATGTCCACTAGCTTCTAATTTACCACTAACTTTTCCTAGGGCTTTGCCAAGACTTTGAAGATTTGGCAAGTCTACTGATATATTTTCTTTATAAGATGCACCGTGCTTATTAAGAGAAATACCTTTGTCCAGGTGGAATCCTAAGGTACGAGTTTGTGCGTTGTGTTTACTATGTACGGAAATTGGTCCTGGCTTTTTGTCAGTTCCAAATCCCCAGGTGGGCAGTCCTTCCTCTAGCCGTTTAGGCTGTGATTTTTTTACTTGTATAAGTCCAATATATTCTACATTTTTATCTCGTACAGAGCTAGCACTTTCCGTTTTTGGAGTTATAACAACGTATTCTTGAGATTCATAATCTTCTGATTGAAATTTTGGTTTTTCATCGGGTTTGTGATGAATTTCTTCTTCGTGACGGCTTTGTGTAGTCTCATTGTAAACTTCTTGTAAATGTTCCTTACCCTTTTCGTGCAAAGTAGAAACTGTGTTTTTGACTTTCGATATAATTACTTGGTGTGATTTTGGACTGATACGACGAATCGTAGATTTGTGTTTCTGCAAAATAATTAACAGCATTGTTATTGGAACGCTGAAGTAAGTGAACATAATTAACAGAAATATGTTGTCTCTACATACTGAGGTCGTAAAGCTTCAAAGTTCTTGTTATTTGAATAATTTATCAATGATCCTAATGGTCTTATATTTGAGTAGCAGTAAAGCTCCTTGTGAAAGAGTTCATCTAGGGAAATTCTGCCACCTTGCCTATTTCTGCTGCCAAGCAGTGACGTCAGCATTACTGTGTTCCGGTTTTGAAGGGTAAGGGTGCTGGTTCAATTACAGGCACATGGGCCTTGTCAATTTATGTTCAGGGTGACGGCCGCAGTGGCAGTGCTCCTCAGATTTTTGCGATTTAAAGCTCTGAGTGGCACTGCAACTGTTATGGACAGGTGTGTAGCTTACCATTAGGCACGCGACTTGTTCGTCCCGTCACTTGATATTACAAAAAAAGATCATTTCATTAGGGTTATCCTCCTAAATTACTCATAAAACTTAATTAAGTCCCTTGATTGTAATGATTAATATGATGATAAACAAGTAATTATTAAACTTACACTTTTTGTTACTGTTTGCTTCACGCGCCCTTTTTCAATTTCCTTATTATCGCCCTGAAAAAATATCGTAGAGTAGTTATATCGTACACAAGGTTACACAGTATTGTTGTAAACTAAGTTTCGTTAAGTTCACTAGAGGCAGGCCAGAATGTGAACCACTGTAATATGCCTAACTGGAACTGGAATCGTGAGGAGCTTAGATTAGATAATCTAAGCTCCTCACGATTCCAGTTCCAGTTAGGCTGCTTCTGCAGCGCAGAATAATCAGTTTTTAGTGGTAAAGATTAATACCGTGATGTAACTTGCATGTTGGAGAGGGTACAACACTACGAAGTTGTATGAAGTTCTGAACACGCATTAGATCGGTGTGATAGATTATGAACAATACACTGTCCTTAGAGAAGACCGAACACTGCATTGCGATGGTTGATTTAGTGCATACTTACATTGCCCTCATTGCCCAAATTTTTGACAGTAATTTTGTAGCGCTGTTTTTTGGCTGGGGCTTCGATAGCCTTCTTTACGATAGCGTTATCATTTTCAAATTCTTTTTCTATAATGTTACGGATGACGTTCAAAGTACCCTCTTCGATTCCGAGGCTTCGCTTGGCATTTTTGTTTTCATTAGCTGCTTGGATATCCTGTAACGTAAAATATTAAACAATTACACTATTTATTTCGTCGATGTGAGTTCCTGGTACGGTACCCGAATAAATTAAAGAAAAATTACTTTTTCGTCCACAAGCTCGGAAAGGCTTTCTTTGTCATTAAAACCGCCGCTAAAAAGCGTGTTTCGCACGCTATCGTGGAAAAGGTTTTTGAACTTGGAACTTGATGATGGACCGTGGTGCGCCTAACTTTTTCTTTCGATGAAAAAAAAGATAATTAAACATTCAACTACTCGAATTCTCGTACACTACTTATTTATGCAATATACATCCATTGGTACCTACATTTCATTCTTATTGATGTTGACATTAAATTGACAATAACTAACTGTGTTTATTAAATTATTTTAATTCGTCGAAGAACTAAAACAATTTCAATAAACACTTAATCACACCAAATAAAAGTATGAAGTAAGTAAGAATAAAAATGTATGAGGTGTAAATTCAGAACGCATGCGAAGATAAACTTTTCTTTTGATTAATAAAGCTGATATTTTATAGTTCAACTATTTTCCTTTTATCTACCATTTTCCTCGCTATAGAGAGGTGAAAAGTGTGTTACGCTCGGCAGCAAAGTTGTATTGCGTCTCGTGCTTTGAAACCCTCGCTGCGCTCAGGCTTCTATTTTAGCTTCCTATGCTGGCTCAGGTTTTAATACAAGCTCTCGCGTCAAACAACTTTGCAGCCTTGCATAACAAATAAATATGTTAACTTGGTACTGCCAGGACACTTGCAAAGGGCCTCAAAGCTCATACGACAACTATGTGAAATGAAGAAATTTTTCTCTTTAACGGATGAGTCTCTTATTATTCTACCCCGATGCAAAAAAAGAGATGGAAGCTTTTGTTTGTATATCAAGCATCGTGGCTCCAAAAAGGATGGATTGATTTCTGATGTCGGTATTTTTATGGTTTTAATCGGGATGGTTATTATGGCTCTTTTATTAGTTATTGTAGGGATCTCGCCCATGTAGTAAAATAAATATTTTATTGCCACTTGTCCTATCGACTTGAATATTTGTGATACTTTGTAAATCCGATGACAATGTAATAATTTGGTAGCCTTGAACAAACGCTGTACGTGCAGACTATCTTCAATATTGACAAGTATAGTTTGTAGTCAGTAGAGCTCCTTTTGGAAGAGTTCGTTCAAGAAAGTGCTACCTATTTCTGCAGCCAAGCAGTCAAGTGAGCATTACTGTGTTTCGGTTTTGAAGGGTAAGGGTGCTGATGAATTTACAGGGACATGGCCTTGTCAACTTATGTCTCAGGGTGACAGGCCAGGTGACAATCCAGAATTTATTATTTCTTTTTAAATTTGAAACTGCGACCAATCAAGATTTTGTAGTGTTTTCAATTAAGAGTGTGTGAGTTTTGGCGACATCAGTGCCTATAATAGTCGAGGGTTAAGGCAATTCCATTGTTTTTTTTTCTTCCGTGAAGTTACTAAATCGCGGCGGAACCAAACAGGCAGCCACGGGCGAGTCTTCCCACAGCGCGTTTGCGCGAAACGCGCGCCATGAAAAACGAAGGACGGGTCATGGGAAGCCGCCTTTATGCGTTTCAATTACCCTTGAGGTGACCACGGTAACGAACACAACGAAAGCGGAGTTAACTTTTGAAGTCGGTTCTTTTAAATTATAAATTCTCATTTTAGGAGACTTTAACCACGTGTTGCAAAAACGGCATACAGAAACAGTAAATGCATTTTTTTTCCATTAATTATTAAATCTATAATAAAATTTCATTACAAATAATTTTTTATCTATGAATTCATGTTTTGATGCACGTTTTATTTGAATATAGGTAATAAAAGGAATAATGTTAATGAAATAAATTAATAATTGTTTATGGAACATCCTAATTATTATGTGCGAAGAGTATCGACCTTAGTTCCATTAATCGAAGTAGAGTTAACCCATTGGAAGGGAAAATATAGAAGGAAAAGTCTTTTCGGCAACCTAAATACTATTTTGGCTTTTAGATGCAGTAATTAATGAAGAAGAGAAGGTATATCATAATTATTATGTGCGAAGGCTAAGCGAAATTCGACGTGTCTGCTACAGAAAAGATGAGAATGGTCTTGTACACGACAAGAACTTTGTCGGATCTAGCCACGAAAACATTTCGTGTCTGTTGCAGACGAGAAAATTATGAGTATGTACACGATACGAATGCTTTCGGACAGACGTGTGTAGGATAAAAGGTCTCAGTGCATTATGAGTCCTCCAGGTAACTGTCGTTTTACTAACCACTGTGGGAAGAAATATGTTGTTGTATATTTTGACTATTAAGAGGGAGCAGAGGAAAAATTCCTAATCTTCGATTTGATTTTAGAGGGGTATATCCACTTTAAAGTTAAAAATAAAATATTGTATGAGTAACTATACGATATATTCAAGCATAGACATTAATCAGAAACATAAAACAATAAAGTTTCCTCGATAGATAAAAATCACGAAATGACCTCTAATTTTCACATTTTTTCGATTCATCCTCGAAATGCTATAGGTTGTTAGGACAAAAATTAGATAATTAATTATATTTATGCATGATCGACAACTGTCACTACGGATCTTTTTTTAATCCCTTTAGTTTTAGAGTTATTCCGCTAAAATGAATTTGGTACTTTTAATGCGCAAAATTCAACGTCTCCTGTCGCATGTCACGCGAACTTCAGGCATATATTTGTTTCACAAATTTGGGCGGAGCCAACGTCAAAACTTTTTTGGCATGAGAGCTCTTAAGCAACTCCCGTCCACGCGTATAAACCTTCTTCGTTTACTGACAATGTACCTCACCCCGCCCCTGTATGGGGCAGAGCGCGTCGTGTCGGGGGTAGAAAAGACTTTTTTCTTGTCCGGCGCCGAGGCAGTGTACACAGTTCGTGTGTAGAAACGACACGAATTCTTGCATAGACCCGGCGACTTTACTTAACGGGAACACGCGCCCTACCGATGTTAAGTCCATCAAGAGAACTAGAGTTAAACAATTGGAAGGAAAAATATAAACACTATTTTGGCTCTGCATTGCCACAATTAATCAGGAAAAAATGTGTTCACAACAGTAATAAACGGACATATGTCCACATAATGAAAATGGGTCATTCGTATTAGCATATCTCATGTTGTTTCCACTTCGGTTTAAAAGACTCCACCCACAATTCCGCTTCGCTTCTATTATAGGAATCTACATATTGCATTATACTTATAAAGTTTAAATTTCAAAATATCGTACAACAGTTTGCAATACACGCACCAGAAACTAGAAATAAAGAGCAAATCATACTCACATCTAAACACGTTATCAAATAGTAAATACAAAAAACACAAACCACCTCCGCCCTCATTATATAGGTACGAATTACAGAAACTATGTACCTACTTCTTTCTTATATACTGCGGTTATTGCTTTTATATACGGGATGTGATTTCGACGTAGGCACAATGTTACTAACCTTATTTGTTATAATACTTTGAATGAATAAATGAATGAACGAATGAAATATTCTTTATTGCACGTTAAAATTACAACGACAACACATAATGTAAGTATCACAGAGTAAGCCAATGTACAACAGGCGGCCTTATTGCTAAGTAGCAATTTCTTCCAAACAAGAGTTGGAAAGGGAGGTGCAGCTAAAGAATATCTTGTAATGAAAGCGTCTTTATAAGCGAATATTTTGTAGGATAATAAAATAAATTATAAAAAGTAGTAATAATAAATAAAATAACAGACGACGATTATACCACAAAGCAAAAAGGAAATAAAAAGGGAATTGAGGGAAAAAAAACAAAATTAGTAGTTATGGAAATTTTCCTTAACACGTCGTTTGAAGGAATCAAGAGAAGGGGATCGTCAAATTGATTCAGGAAAAGAATTCCATAACCGTATAGCAGATACAGTAAACGAGTTTGAGTAAAAATCGGAGGCATGTTTAGTAGGAGTGTATTAGAGGACCGAAGAGGACGGCAGAGCGTTGCATAATGAGGGTTCCAAAAGTCGAATTATAGGTACGAGATTTTAAGATCTATTTGCATGTCATCGGGGATAGTGCAAATCCGCGTATCTACTATTGGCGCGTATCTGCACTAAACCAAATTTCATAGGAGACTGGCTACGACTTTCATTTTTTGCACAATAAGCATTAATTTATATTATCTACGGAGTGATAACAATACATCCCCGTAAATCTTACGCGGATTTGATTTGGCGACTAAATTACCGAAATGGAAACTCCTAATCAAATGTTAGTTACGCGTAATTGCACTATCTCCGACGAGAAATGAGAAATTAATATAATTAAACACATCAAATATTTAATGTGTATTTTAAATTGACTTACAATTATATGGACGTCGGGTCCGCGCTAAAAAGTGTCCGAACTTATAGGGCGTTAAAATCGTATACAGAGCGTCATTCACGCTTTAGTCTTCGTTTGTTCGACTGACAGCGAAGCAAGCAAAATTAGACAGTACTGCGATGACATTACAATTTAAATTCAACGTTTTAGCTTTTTCATATTCCTTTACATGTCACTACGTTTAAATAGGTTGACTTGGGACATTTTTTTCGTGGTTTTTGTATTAGACCCGTCGTCCATTTATTGTAAGTTTAATGGTATTTTATTAACAATGTATGACAACAAACTCTAACGAAAGCCAAACAAACGATAAAAAACAAAAAACCGAAGAGATAGAATAGAAGTGGCGAAGTACCGCTTCATGAACTCGCTGTACCACTTATGTAAGTATTTATTTTATAAAGGTTTATGTCCCGGTTGTAAGACTTTTAGAGTGGTTACGCATGGCTACGTCTATCAGCGATACATCGATACAATCGCGCGTTTGTATCGATGCCGTCGCGTGCTTGCATCGCGTTTACATCGCCTTGTGTAACCGCTCTTGGACCAATCAAGAGGGATTAGGAGTAGCCTCATATTTGATATTTTAATCAGCAAAAAGACCACGTTCTTTTTTTTAAACTTATTATGGCAGAACTTGATTCGCTCTGGACCTTTTGGAGGGAAAAGTTTCGTTTTTATTTTGACTTTCAGTTATTTTGTGAAATCTAGTTTAAAGTGGAATAGGATAGTGCTATTGTGCCTTAATCGAAGATTAAAACGCGAAATTATACGAATCTCGAATTAGAATACCAGTACCGGCCCGTTTTAAGGAATCCCGAGTCAATCCAAGCACGCCGCCTCAAATTGCCTATCCTCTTTGTGGCGGCCACATTTACAGAAACATAATTAAACTTCATGTTTAGGCTGATGG